AAAACTGATACTGGCACTGTTCCAAACATATGAAGAAAAAACTGCATTTGTACTTACTGTCTTTGTCCCAAAGTTTTGAAGAGAAATGTTTGATACTGGCACTGTTCCCAACTTATGAAGAGAAAAACTGCATTTGTACTTACTGTCTTTGTCCCAAAGTTTTGAAGAGAAATGTTTAAACTGATACTGGCACTGTTCCAAACTTATGAAGAGAAATGTTGAATTGTTATTTATAAAGGAGACAAAATCTACTGTGGATTTCGTTCGTTTATTTGTTTAAAAAATTTCGCGCAAAGCAACTCAAGTGCTATCTGCGCATAGTCATCCCTAATTTTGAACTGATACACTAGACGAAAGGCAACTAATCAACACTACCCACCGCCAACTCTTGGGTTATTCTTGTCTAATCGAAGGATGAATTTGACCACCACACCTATAAGTTACCTACGGCCCCAAAGTTCAGAGTGCATTTCTGTGGCAACGGAACACGAACCGTGAATCCTCAGATCCACAGTCCGGATACGCTAATCATTTAGCCATCACCAGTCGATCTATACAGAAGCTACACCGTAATTTGTCCTACCCCAAAGGGCTACTCAAACATTTCCCACTGTTAAAACTATAAGTTAGAAAATATTACATTAAGAATAGACTTTCCGAATATTGAGGCTGACTTTTTAAGAGGGTGTGTGTGTGTGTGTGTTACATCAGTTTGTTTTGAAGTGTTAAGATTTGGTTAGAAATCCATTAATACTGCTGTTTTTGCTAGTAAGTCCAGTTTGTTAATCTTGGGTTACACATACAATCTCCTACAAAGCACACACAAACACAGTTGTATAGATTTAGACGCTCTACGTATGTTCCAAGGGAAGAAGATAGGTATAAATTAAAATATTATTCACAGCTGAATGCAGCGTCTTTTCATACAATTCTGATTAGAAATCATGAGCCAAAAAATGTAATATATACATACACAGTTGTTGTCCTTGAACAATCATTTTTAAACCTACAACTTTTTCCGAACTTGCTGCCTAACACGACAACAGTAAAACATATAGTTACCTTTTTTTGTTGTTTTATCACGCTATGGCTTCGCCTGTTCTCGAGCAGTGCTGTTGAGACGCTGACTACTGCAGTATTAAACACGCCGTTTAGGAAGCTTAGTGCAGCAGACCACACACTCCACTCCACGGCTGCGCTTTGGCAGCATTGAAATGTACTATCTGGAACACCAAAAACACTACTGCAAAAAATAAAATAAAAACAGTCAATGACTCAGAATTGTTCTGCTGAGGTGTTATACTAGTTCACGTCCAGCAAAGCTGAGCTATGGCTGAGGTATTAACACTTCAGTTAAAATCTAACAAAGCTAAGCTATAACTAAAATATTAACACACTAGTTTAAATCCAGAAAATCTAAGCTTTGTCTGAAATATTTACACATCAGTAAAACCCAATACACCCTAAACTATACCTGAAATATTAACACACTAGTTTAAATCCAGCAAAGCTAAGCTGTGCTTGATATATTAAAATACCAGTTTCAATCCAACAAAGCTAAGCTGTGCTTGATATATTAAAATACCAGTTTCAATCGAACAAAGCTAAGTTATGCCTGAAATATGAACATACAATTTCAATTCAACAAAACTAAGCTGTGCTTGATATATTAACACACACTAGTTTAAATCCAGCAAAGTTAACCCATGCCTGAAGTATTACACATTAGTTTCAATCCAACAAAGCTTAGCTACACCTGAAGTATTAACACAGAAACTTGAGTTTAAGGAGACGGCACTTATCAAGATAACTTTCTACGGAATATTTTAAATCTATAAGTATATATAAACCACTATATAGCACACTGAGGATTACTGGGATTTTGGCAAACTGCCATTTCTTGTTAGTAGGTGTCATTACTTTAATTTTGAAGTATCAATGAAAAACTTTTTAAGAAATGACTCACCATTCATACTGTGTTCTCATATAATGCTGTATTTGTGAAGTAAATTCTTATTTCAGTTTATGCAGAACGTTAAAGTTTCTCAACTTTTATTAACTACATAATGAAACTAAAATTAAAGAATTAGAAAACTGTATTTTGCGATGTATTTACAATAGATTTAATCTTGTATAAACGCTGCTTTTTAACTTTCATTTGTGTCATAATACCAGCCAACCTTCCGGTTTATATCATACTAGTATTATTAAACAGAGAACGGCTATGTTACATATTCCTTGAACAATGATTGGACAATAAAAATCAAACAAATCTGAAAAACTACTAAATATAATGTATTTAAACTACAAAGTTTAACTAATAAGCTTCACTTTATTGTCGGATGTTCATTGTATTCCATTATACATCGTCCTTCTATTCGAGGCTGTCTCAGCAAGTCGTTACATATTGTTTAGTCCAACGTTGTCTCAGATGAGCATCTCCTGACGTCACTATTAACATATTCGTCTCATTCATCCTGAAAAACTCAGGTTCTAAAATACTAACATCCCCATTCCATTCGTCTTCAAAAACTTACGTTGTAATATATGGATTGTTAAATATGCCATAATACATTTAAGTCCTTATAACACGATGGCTAATATAGCATTAGTCTTAATTTCTTATAACACGATTGTAATAAACCATTAGTCTTAATTTCTTATAACCCGATGGCTAATACAGCATTAGTCTTAATTTCTTATAACACGATGGCTAATATGCCATTAGTCTTAATTTCTTATAATACGATGGCTAATATACCATTAGTCCTATTTTCTTATAACACGATGGCTAATATACCATTAGTCCTATTTTCTTATAACACGATGGCTAATATACCATTAGTCCTATTTTCTTATAACACGATTGTAATATACCATCAATCTTAATTTCTTATAACACGATGGCTAATATACCATTAGTCTTAATTTCTTATAACACGATGGCTAATATACCATTAGTCCTATTTTCTTATAATACGATGGCTAATATACCATTAGTCCTATTTTCTTATAACACGATGGCTAATATACCATTAGTCCTATTTTCTTATAACACGATGGCTAATATACCATTAGTCCTATTTTCTTATAACACGATGGCTAATATACCATTAGTCCTATTTTCTTATAACACGATTGTAATATACCATATGGTTTATGTTGGACAGATTTTATATTCTCTCCGCCATATTAGAAAGGGAATTTTCCTCCTACAAAAACTTAGACTTTTGTTTTCCGTACCTAAGGCATTCAGACATCAGCTTCAGTCCGCTGGGTCAAAAAAAAAAAAAAGAATATTGACAATTATGCCTGAAAATTTTGATTACATTTTGTTTATAAAGTTGGTTCAGTTACCCTGATTGGAGGCCACATTGGGAATAGAGGTGGAGATAATATATTTTAACTGAGTCCACAAAAGGTTTACGTGCGCTATTGGATTTGAAGTCGTGTAAGCTACAAGGTGAATCCTTGGAGAGACATTAGCTAGACAAAACAAAAGACACTTAAGCTCTAAATGGGAATTTAATAACTTAAACCTATCTGCTTTTCTTTCCTATTTTATAAAAATAACTATTTTACAATGTTTCTCTTCTCGAAGCTCGATAAACTGTTATAGAAAATAGTATTTGAGTGTTTCATTCACAATTAGCGATTATGCTTATACATAACGAGAACATTTTTATTTTAAAACATTCATACTATTTTATGTTCACACAAAATGCTAAGTAATTGGTAATTTAGAAACGCTTGTGTACTGCCAAATAAGAACAACTTGTATATGTTTCTAGATTAACGTGAATACTTCTGTGGATTTTTTGGTGGGGTGGTTTATCTATGAATTAATCAGTTTAATTAGTTTGTTAAACCAGTTTAATACGTTTAAAACACCGAAAACGTTCGATTGTCTTAGTTCTGTTAAGCCTGTATGTTCAACCTGATGTATTGTTGAAAGATATTGTTACGACAGTGGAAGTCACGTGACGCTGGTAACACGTCATGAGATTCTAGAAGGATCATGAAGGCCCGAGCGTTTTCTAGACGCCCTCTATTTTAATATATAAACTTGGCAAATAAAGCAGAGAGAAGAAGTGACGGCATAGATAATTGCAGACAGGCAGAGATAGAGACGGATAATTGAGTCAAGCGCGGTAGTGACCGTAAGTAAAGTGCGTGAATTGTTGTGAATTATAGCGTGTGTTTAACTTAAAAGTGATTGTGGAAATTAAGTGCATTGCAAAGTTGTATTGAGAAAGAATAAACCAGTCTGATTTAAAAAAAGACTTGTATCGCTAAAGTTTCATCGGAAAAAAAATTATACGGGAAATTAACAAACGAAAAGAGATGTAACAATATTGTTGCGTCATCGAGATCACGTGACTATTCTTACGCCCTCTACTTTCTAGAACTATCCTGTACTTTGGCGAATGCTCTAGCATTTACTAGATATAGGGTAGTCTGGTATATAAAAGAGGGTGACAACGTGACGGTAATGTGTGCGCGTACCTAATGAGTAATTGAACTGCAGTCAGAGAG